ACCACAGGACAGAAATATTTTCAACAAACAAGATATGGCTCTAGTTAGAAAAATAAAAGACATTTGTAAAATCTACCAGACCTACAACTTCCCTTAGAATCAGAATACATAGTTGTAGAAACAACGCAAGTCAATTAGGATGGGAACAATATTATTAGCTAAACCCAGTAAATATGACAGTAAAAATAAAGAACGCATTTGTAGATACAGTTCTGAAAAATTTAAAGAAAAAGATACAAATATGGACCAGCCTAGATTTTGAAATACTAAGAGTAGTATACGCAATAAATAAATTAGATTATTTTTGCATAAACCTTTTACAATAAGGAGCGATTGTAAGCCATAGTTAGATTTCATAACAAACTAAACGAGCGTAAATTAAGTACTAGAGATGGCAAAAATTTTTAGATTGTATAGTAGGACAAGGATATAAAGTAGAATTTGAGCATATTAAAGGAAGTGATAATAGATTAACAGACTGGTTAAGTAGAAAATTTATTTAGAAAAAGAAGATAATCAGTTTAATTTTTGTAAGTGGGACCCCCTATTTTTTTTTTCCCATACATTCTGTCTGCTAGGTCGTCAGGCTGCTGTGCAGAGTTGTCGTAAAAGTATCTCATCTCCCATGGGTGGTTATCGTACCATTCTTGATCATTCTTCCGATCACGGTGATTCATGAGAGACGCCATGCTGGTAGTTCGGGTACTGACTTTCATGACAAATGTCTCTTTGCTGAATGGATATCCTGGATGGCTAAATCATGTATCTTCTGATTATATCTTTCACAGACTAGATGTCATAATTTCCATTATAGGCTAAGAGAGAGTTGCTAGCAAATTTCTCCAATTATTGAGCTGGTCTTTGATGAAATCTCTGATGGCCAGGGTCTCCTTTGAGAAGTCCTGGGTATCCTGGGAATGAGAGGTTCTTTGAGTACATTTTGTGTTTAAGCTGGATTGCACATATTCCCTTCACTCTGGTAGTTGTTATTATCAAAGCTTCCACATACGGATGATGTTCTTCCAATTACGCACAGTACTGCATGAGCAGCTGTGTCAAAGTTTATCTGTCTGATCTGGACTGTGGAAATTATGTCTAGAGACAAAGCCGTAACTAACAATTTGGGGCTGTTAGAAACGAGTTTCGCCCCTAATTTCTATCTCCAACGGCTCGAATGTACTAATTTATCTGGCAAAGGCAAATGCTGAAGTCTAGGTTAACTACATCTACAAAATGTTCTGACTCTTATTGTATTTTTCTTCGTCTAAGCAGGGTACCCTTCCTTACTT